ATGCCATGTTTTATAATCATGCTTCCCCAATAAGCATTTAAGCATTCAGCTGGGCAAATCCTTTGAAAAAGCTGCATAGGAGCGCATACAAAGCATCTCTTTTTCAAATGGTAAGCCAGTGTTTCCAGGCAGTGAATGCAGTCTTGTGAACCTAGGAAAAGACATGTGTGTCTTAACCATTTGTAAAGAGTTGTGGGATTGGCACACTCCCCTTTGCATTTAAGGATTTGCATAGCTCACAAGTATTCTATAAGAAAATGACTAAATACTTGCGTCTTTGCCCACGATTCTTTGAAGTATTCAGAAAACCGGATTCCTTCCTAAAGGACTATTAGTAAAAGATAAAATTACTAAAAGAGTATTTAGTAAAAGATAAAATTGAAAGTCCATGTTTTGGGTGAATTTTTAGTAAATCACTTGCAAGAAATGTTAGATTTGACCTGCTGAAGATAGAAATTGCTGGACTTTTGGCACATAAGGAAATAATAAATGATGGATCAGCTCATTACTTAAGAAGCAGATACTGATCCTGAGTCAAAAGAGTCAATAAGACAAATCTGAGAATTGATAATCTTAACAGAAAACAGGAAAAATGGAAAATAGGAAAAGAAAAAGTAATAGTAAACTCAATGACAACTAAGGTAACGTTGCTAAGTTAAAAAAATCATTTTGTACTTTGTTCATATTATAGACAGAATATCTTCCTCACTTAGACCAATTGTTAATATATGGCTATGATAAAGTCATAGAAAAAGGCACAATTGTGTTGCAGACAGGTGCTAGATCTGTGTTCCTGCACATGTGGAAGCACTTTTCGGAGAATGAATGTTGCACAGTACCAATTAGAAGTGACCGGAAAAATTGGCACATCTGCATATTGTTATATCACTAATCCATATCAGAGGCTTAAAGAGGCAGTAAAGAATTCAATTATGTCATTCCAAATGAATGCATTTGCAGCCTTATGTTGCCAGATGATTAGATTTAAATTACAAAACCTGTTTTCTAAAAAGTTTTAAAAATCAAGGAGACCATTGTTATAGCAGACTGTAGCCTAGTTTTACAATCTGCACAAAAATGATGTTAAAAAGAAATGTTTCAAACCACACATTTTGGGGGAGTGACGAATGCATGTTGCATCAAAACCACCTAATTAAATTATCCTGTCACAAGCACAAGAAAACAAAAGTTGTATGACACATCAATGACAATGCTTATGAAAGATGTGGCTTATATGCTGATTTACAATTTCAGAACAAAGATTTCTAACAAGCTCATTTCCAAGAAGCATAGTCAAAACAGTTGGCAGCTGCTATTTTAAAATAAAATAAAATAAAATAAAATAAAAACCAGAGCTGGTGTTTGAACTGAACAAACCCCTGATTTAGATTTATAACAAATACAGGTAATCCTCAAATTATACTGCTAAGTGAGAAATTTGTTAAGTGAGTTTTACCCCATTTTATGACTTTGCCACATTTCTTAAGTGAATCACTGCAGTTCTTAAATTAGTCACATAGTTGTTAAGTGAATCTGGCTTCCCCATCGTCTTTGCTTGTCAGGTTGCAAAAGGTGATCACATGACCTTGGGGCACAGCAAGTTATAAATATGAACCAGTTGCCAAGTGTCTGAATTCTTATCACATGACCATGGGGACGTTGCAATGGTCATAAGTGTGAAAAATGGTCATAAGTCACTTTTTTTCAGTGCCGTTGTAACTTCAAACAGTCACCAAGCGAACTGCTGTAAGTCAAAGACTACCTGTATAGTTTTGTCCATACAATGTTTTAGACAAGTTGTTTCAGATGCTAAGATTTTTTTTTGTGATATAAAAAAGTCTGTTAAGTCTGGTTCCAGAAAGCAAAAAGAATAAAGCCTCACCTTTGAAAAATGCTGAATGGAAATAATATATTTTAAAACTGTCTTAAATCAGTTGAATCATTAAGATGTTAGAGTTGGTGCCACTAACAAGAACTACTAAAAGGAGGAGCAATGAAAACAGTTGAATTCAATTCATCCAATACACAGTTGAAAAACTGGTACAAGTTCTTGGCACAGGCATATTGATTAGTACATTTAGAGCAGACATGCCAAACACAAGGCCCGAGGGCTGGATGTGGCCCGTGAAGTAGTTTCATGTGGCCCGCGAAGCCATCCTGGAAAGAGTGAGGGAACGGCCCCCGCTGCCTTGGCCCTGGCCCAGGCCAGCCCTGAGCCAATGTACAATTTTGTGGTGGCCATCTTGGCACTTGCCCCAGTGGACCATGCTTTGGCACTTGCCCTGGTCCTACCCCCTTCTGCCAGAGACCCTCAGATCTGTCCCACTCCTGCCCAGGCCCCCATAGGCACCCTTGACGTGAATGATGTAGAACTGGCCACGCCCACCCAGTAGGCCACACTTACTTCACGCCCACCAAGTAGGCAGCACTCACTCTGGCCATACCCCCCCCCCCAGGGCAACCGCAATGCTGATGCGGCCCTCAGTGAAATTGAGTTTGACACCCCTGATTTAGAGTGTGTCAAGAATTATTAAGAGCTTTGTGGGATGACATTCTGCTTGGCATCAGCATTAGCAACATTCTTTTGAAATTATGTGTTAAATTAATCCATGATGAATGCAGATATACATTTGAAATTTCAGCCCCAAGAAGTTATCTGGTGACATGTAAAACTATCCTGTTTCATAAAGATTTAGAAGTATTTTCCATTCTATTTGTAACAACTTTGGGAAGTTTTGGTTAATGAACATCTCAGCATTCCTGGCCCCATTTTATCAGTTTGCATAATCTGAATTAAAAACTATCAGGATTTTCTGTCTCATTCAATTGCTCCATATTAGTACATTAGAGGTAGTCTTTGATTTATAACCATTCATTTAATGACCATTCAAAATTATAACAGCACTGAAAAAAAGTGACTTAGGACCGGTACTCAATCATCACAGCATCCCAAAGCTTACTCCACAATTATTTTTGTTGGGTATTATGGTTGATTTTGATGTCATAGAAACTAATTTGATGTTGAATCTTATAACTGCAATAAGCTGCAAGATTATTGGTGGGGAAATATTGGAAGAAAAATTCTTTGCCTACTATGGAAGAATGGATACTTAAGGTGTCTAACTTAGCAGAAATGGCGAAAATTTCCGCTTATTTGAAGGACCATTCACAAGAAAAATACATTTCGGTCTGGAGAAGATGGATTGATTATATTCAAAAGAAATATGAGACTGAAAAGTATTATCTTGCGTATGAGTAGATTTTAGGTTATTATTAATAGTTTAATATGATTGAATTTATATTATTTTTAGTGTTATGGTTTAACTATATTGTTTTTAATTTGTTAATATTTGTTTTGAAAAAAGAGTTAAAGTATGTTATGGTTTGGTTGTTAGAATAGGTGGGTAATGTTAGATTGTTTATTTGTTACCCTGTAATCACCTCTGTGAAGTGGGGGAGTGGGGGAAGGGGTTTGGGTTATATTGTATTAAATTTGTAAAACTTTTAATAAAAAAAAATCATCACAGCATCCCCAGGCACATGATCAAAATTCCAGTGCTTGGCAATTGGCAGGCATTCACAATGGTTACAGTATCTTGGAGTCATGTGATTATCATTTGCAATCATCCAGCCAACTTCTGACAAGCAATGTCAATGGGGAGATGTTGGATTTGCTTAATACCCATGGGATTTATTGAATTGCAACAATTTGCTTAATAACTTTGGAAAAGGTGGTTGTAAAATCAGGCCCAACTCACTTAAATAATTGCTTTGCTTAATAACAGAATTCTGGTCCCAACTGTGCTTGAAAGTCAAGGAGTACCTATATATACATGGAATCTATTGTTTGGCATTTATTTTTTTTTAAAAAAATGTTTTCTGGACGTAAGTCCCCAACTTCTGCCAATTGGTTATATTTTTTTTTTGTATGACAGAGTTGCTATGTCTTTCCTCTTATGCCCATTAAATTGTTCTTTACCTATTATTTAGTAATATTTTTAGTTGGTATGTATTTATATATGGACTACTGCAAATATCTGATTTCTAACATTGTCCACCTCTTACCTGCTTTTTATTATATATTCCACTTTAGTACATTTGTTCCTATATTACTTATGTTTAATTGAAATAAACCCGAATGTTAGCTTTAAAAATTATATATTGTATTGCCTGATTTTCACCTTATTTATACCTTTAATTTTAATCTTTACTTTCATAATTTTTATTTCTAATTTTTCCTGCGTATTTCTATGCTACATTGTTCTAGCAGCTTATTTTTTGATACTTTGAAACCCATATTTTTTAAACAATATAAAATTTGACTAGAGTATCTTAAAATATTTCACAAAGATGAGACTACAGTACAATAGGAGATAGGTATTTCTCAAAGAAAATGTTAGAAATTTCTTGAGCTGTTAGTTTGAAAGAGCCGAAGGGAATATATTTTCTTAACTGGCTTCCATTTACCATTTTCCATTTTCTTGTAAAAATGAATTATAAAGTAACAAGTATTCATTGTATTTTTAATTGGCATACCACAACTTTAAAAACCAATCACTAAACTGTTGTCCTAAATTCCTGAAATATGGTTTTATTGTTAAGAAATGATAAAACCTTAGAAAAGCTATTCATAGCAATCTGATACCATTGTTAAGAAACAGATGATATAAATGGATTGATTATACTTTATTGATGACTTTGTTCCTACAGAACTTATAACTTGGATTTTCAAAAGATGTTCTCTTTACATTATTTGTATCTTACCGATTTGAATCTTTCAACTTGAAAACCTGAGATTTTATAAAGCACAGCTTGAGAAACTGGATGCCAGGAGCAAATCCCCATTCCTATGCGTATTTTTCTCAAACATCAGTTCAATGTATACCCACCTGGCTATGCCCAAATTAGGGTAGGGATCTACTGATACAACCTCATTATGGCAGAAAGGGAAGGGAAAGGAGTAATAAATACATATTCACTCACAAATGTACATCTCTAGATTGAATTTCATATTTTTTTATTCCCCATCTACATCAGAGAATGAAAACAAGCACTATTTCACTTGGGGAAACAACAATATCAGTGCCAAATCTGGCTGCACCCCCCCGCCCAAATATTTGTCCATTTTGAAAAGATTGGTTGAACATAACTCATCCTAACCATAGCTATTCCACAGTAAGGCTTAAATCAAGTATTCAGGTTGTGAATATTAAATACATCAGGCAATTAATCTCTTCACCTGCCTTATTAAGGCATTTGAAAACCATCTTCATCTCTGCAGTACTCATCTGATCATTTGAGGGTTTTTTGCTGTACTAATGTATTTAGTGTCTAACCCTTAGAAATCCATTACTTTGGAAAACATGAAATACTTTGCGTTATGTTCTTCAGTTAGAAATGCTGCACCCTGGAAAATAAAGATATTGGAAGCATCATCTACTTCAATTTAACTGACTCCCACAACAATTATGTCTAAGTCTACAATACGACTTCCTAAAAAAAAAAATAGTTTGGCATCAATCAGAAGTGGATTTCAGCACATCCATAAAAAAGCCCGATAGAGCAGATAAGTTCATATAGGGCTATGGAAAACATTTCCTAAATTTCTGAAGTATCATGGGATACTTATTAGGAGCAGCAATTGAGTCAGATCAGCAAGTCTGAGGTATTTGATGTACTTCCTCCCGCAACTTCAAACTGCCTTTTTCTTTTGCAGAGCTAAAGAACAGCAAACTTATTGATGTTATATCATCCTTGGACAGCTCATAAAAAGTCTGCAGCTAACACACAATTCCACCTGCTGTCTAACATCTCCCAGCATCAGAAAGATTTTTAAGGGCTATTAGTGACCAATAATAAAAATAAAAATAGTTAGAATGCACCATATAGACAAGAGATTATCTTGTTCTACCTGAATCTGATTATACAGTGCACAACACATTTTCATTATCCTGAGATAAATATTACCATGGTTTTACCTAGTATGGTAAACTCTAAGGACTGTATCGTATCACGCAGGTGATCTCACAATTCTGTAGAAGATCTAGATTTTTCCTGACTGTTCATCCAATTACCTACTAGCAGTTCTTCTACATATAATTTGTTTTACAAAACAAAGTCTTGTAAACATTTATATTTAGCTAAACATATTTATCCGAGTAGTCCTTGGGTGTAAATCAGTTGCTGGTAGCTGGCTATATATCATACAAAGTAATGCAACTCTTCCTAATTTTAGAGTGCGTATACCTGAAAATAGGATAATAAAAACATATATTCTCCACATTTGGAGATGGGAGAGGAAGGAGAATCATAATAGTTTATTCTCAGCATAATGCACATCAGAAGATTTAGCTTAATTTTCCTATTCTTTAAGATGTAGACCTATATATAATAAACACAAATGATGTTTCAAGTTTTACAGTTCTTTTGTCAAAGGCATCTTCCTAGTGCCTCTAAGAAAACAAAAACAGGCCACTATGAATGTTCCACTAGAAAACAAAACAAACAAGTAGTAGGATTTGCTGATAAATTAATAAAGGCTTTTATCTCCACAAAGATGTTCAGTTATGGCACAAGTGATAAGAGGTGTTTGCAAAGCACCAGCCAAGGGTTAAGGTTAATAACCCTTCCTAAAGGCATTCATTCCACAAGAACCAATCTACCAAATTCTTATTCTACTACAATTGTAACATACATCTGAAATTCAGTCACTCATATTGGACATTTCTTATGCATTCAACATTTTTTTGGTTTTGAGTATAGGACCCATAGTCATATCCTTCACGTTTTAAGACTGTTACAAATCTGAATCTTTATTGTTCTGAAATGATAGAAACTTAAGACAAAAAGCTCCAATTTTCAGTCTCAGAAGTGTGTGGTTCAATGCCCTTTTCATGTGTAACAAGGCTTCCTTTAAAAATAAAAGGAAAAAAAAATGACTAAAGTTCATAAGGATGTGAACGCAATCCTTGGTTTTGTATCAGTGTTTATAGACTGGGCATCACAAGATCCAGCGTTCTCTTCACAGCTGCTCTTGCTATGATGCTTGGCGATCCTTTTGCCATTCCACAAATTCATCAAGAAGAACAGGCCCTGGAGGGAGAAATGGCAATTACAAACTGCAGTACTTCAGAGGAAATTCAGACCTTTTGGCAGTGGCAAAGACAACATATTCCAAAGTGGATGATCAACCATTCTTTTAATTGATTTGTTGTGCTTTTATGCCATTTCATTCATTTTGACTCTAGGACCTAGGAACTCTGTGAACAAACAAGAAAGCAATCTACTATCGTTACAATCTTAGGCAAGACATTTTTTTTTAATCCAACACTGAAAATTAAGAATTTTTTTGACACAATTTTGTGATTTATGAGTGGGCCTAATGAGGAAACATGTCCTAACATGCAGCTTAGACTTTCTTCCCTCGTGGCTAAGAAATATTCTTTGTATTTTTGTAGAGCCCTACAATGTTAGCTTGAAATATGCTGACATGTAACTATGTTAGTTTTATTTTTAAAAAAAGCAGAAGCAGAAGGCAACACAGGAAAACAATTCTCGAAACAATTATCTACACTGTACTACTCCTGAGAGAAAGCATGGAAAGTGGACATTAAAGACAATATTAACCAAATTTTATCGACTCTACCTCATGTTATTTGCCAGTATACGGTACTTTGCAACTACATGGCCAGTCTATTGCTAGCAAAGATTTAAAAAAAAAAATTGGAAAAATGTTTGGTTTTTTATTTTAAGCAGAGCAATAGATAATACTTCCATTTATGGAAAAAATAGGAATACAATTTTCCCCAATTTTTACTGCTAAAAATGAACCATAGCCCAATTTATCCACTTCAGAATTAGGACTTGTCCATGCATTTGCATTGGATCTTCCATTAGTATATATTCAGAATTGGTGGCAACTATATATTTTGATTATAAGCTGACATATAGGGCCTCCTGTGAACAGAGATTATTAACCTTTCTAGCTTTATCCCTCCCTCTAAAATAGACATGTCAAACTCGTGACATCACGTGACGTCGTGCAACGTATCGGGAGAGTTGTGCCATTGCTGGCAATGGGGTGGGCGCGGCTTCCGGATGACACGTCTGGCCCGCGGGCCGGCAGTTTGACACCCCTGCTCTACAAATAATGACAAGTAGTAATAAAATTTTTAAAAAATATTCTTTGTAGAACTACTTTGCAACAAGATTTATCAGGAAAAAAAAGACTGAAGACAAGGTATATGCTAAAACTGCAGTAAGTCAGCTTGCAGAATGAGAGCTACAGATAAATATAAACAGCAACACTCTGCAATAAAACGAAGGCCCTCTTTGCTGGAAGACTCTTGAGCCACTTATACCTCCAAAAAACCTAAGATAAATAAAAAGTAGCAAGCATTTTTATACTATATTGTTCAGTTAAAGATTTATTTCATCTGAAATTTGAGAAGAAATTCATTCTCTCACTCTATGCTTTTCCTTAAGGCAAAATTACATCCACCATCTATCTATCATCTATCTACCTACCTACCTACCCCAAGACTTATAAAATACATAGATTATTAAGAAGATGGTGGGATTTTAATTAAATGCCCTAAATGAAATGGAATGCAGGTAGTTCTTGATTTACAGCTGTAAGTGGGCCCAGCATTATGACTAAGTTGTTGAGGTTGTTAAACAGGCCACGAGACTACACCCAGACATTATTACTTTTGTGGCAGCTGTTAAGTGAACAATGCGGTCATTAAGCAAACACGGCAGTCATTAAGGAGTGAACTCATTTTTACCAACAGCTGTTTTTTTCTGGAAGTAAATGCTGGAAACTGACAAAAAAAAAAAAAAATCATGGTCCCAGGATGCTGCAAACAGACATAGTTGATTGCCGAATGGCAAAATGCAATCATGTGACCGTGGCCAGGTGTGTGTATGGCCATTTTAACTTCAAAAACAGGTTGTAAGTAGTTCTAGGGAGGATCATGGTAACTTCAAAGTTACTAAGCGACTTAAGTGAAGACTACTTGTATCTAGATTCCTTTCACTCAATATTCAGGCTTGGGCACAGAATAGAAGCTACACTGATTTCTCTGTGGATTTTTTGTCAGGATGATGAAAGGAGGATGAAAGGCTGTACTTGACCTATCAGTGGTACTCAATACCATCAACGATGGTACCTCTTTAGCTTCCTCCAAGGGTTGGAGACTCAATGGCACTGATTTACACTGGTTCTACTTCTTAATTAGATGTTCCAACTGTGAGGAGGGGCTCAGTTCTGAGTCCCAAAGGTGCTTTTTCACGAGGCAACTGGACTTTCTTATGTTTCTTTGAAGACATTTTGCTTCTCATCCAAGAAGCTTCTTCAGCTCTGACTGGATAGTGGGGAATGGAAAGATTTATACTCCTTGCAGACAGATGGTCATTTGCATTCGTTTAGTGAGTTGTTAGTGCTACCTGGAGGCTTATCTGTGTCTTCAGGGTCACCTGAATAGTGCAAATGTGTGTGGAGACTTCTTGGAACTGTTGAAAGCACTGTGTCGTAGACTGGAGATAGATGTTGTATCCCTCCCCCTCTGTTGACAGAAAGCCATTCAATTTTGACATATGGCCTCTTTGACCCCTCTTTCAAACCAGTGGTCCTCTCTGTCCAAAATATGGACTTTGCTGTCTTTGAAAGAGTGGCCTTTGTCTTTTAAATGCAGATGGATTGCTGAATCTTGTCCTGATGGGTTTGCTCTCCTATGTTGTGCCATACGTTGTTGTTTTATTTCCCCAATTTACAGATCTGCACATGGCTCACTGCATTGTACTGCATATACCATGTTGCTCAGTTTGTGTCTGGGTGTTTTATCCCTAGGGTGGACAAGCTTCTGCCTTAGTGTATTCTTGGATTGAAGTGTGCACACATGTTGTGTTGGTTGAAAAACCTCCTGAGCTTTTCCTGCAACGTAGGGAATGATTACGTTACTTCATTTATTGTTTTCTTGGTCTGTTATGGAGGAGCTCCTGCTGGGTCTTTTTTTGACATTTGATGAAGGCCCCTTTGGGATAGCCACAAGTTCTGAGGGCCTCCTTGATGTGTTTTAGTTCTTTGCTCCTCCATAACAGATGAAGAAAATAATAAATAAAACAATGTAGCCATACACACTTACAGCTATTAAGACCAAGACATGTGCAAAGTAATGCATATGATGTCTACATTTAATGATTTTATCACCTGAATGGAAAGAAACAAGGACTTATAAAGATAATATAAACATATTTGAAACGGCAATGCTAGATGTGGTATAGAAAGAGACTTATTCTTTTTTTAGCAAAACAACATATCAAACCACAATATTACCTAGTCATGAAACACAGGCATGCAGAGTCCCATAATTCAAAAACATTCAATTCATAAACCATCCTAGTATAGTTACTATAGTGCTATTGCTTTTTGACTGATTCATACAGATACAAAAAAATCAATTAAACTAGGCTTTGAAAATTTTGTATATCCTGAAGCACCACAGAAATGAGTATGTTCAATAAGTAATGAATAAAGCTCCAAAAGGAGATTAAAATGACATATGAATTCAGATTAAATTTATTCTTTAGGTATCCTGCACTACTATATTCTCCATATTATGGAAAACTGAAGAAGTTTAAGAATATCTTTCATTATAAGTAAAATATGTATCCATACATCAAAATATGCTGATCAGCATGCATGAAACATTTTTGTCTGATAACATTAACAGAGTTGGATGCTATTATTTTTATATGTGAGCCCAACACTATATCTCTCTAGAGCACGGATATCAAACTTGATCACGGATATCAAACTCATGTGATGTATCATGAAGTTTTTTTCCTTTGCGGAGCTGGGGTGGATGTGGCCTGCATCCAGCCTATGGGACTGCCAGTTTGATACTCCTGCTTTAGAGGATCTAAATTAGTGATGGCGAATCTTTTAGAGACTGAGTGCCCAAACTGCAACCCAAAACCCACTTATTTATCGCCGGGTGCCAGGTGGGTGTGGCCCACTGGGTGGCCATGGCTATGGTGGTCATGGCAGATTGGGTGGGCATAATCACCTCGATGTTGCTGGTGGGGAGGGATGCCTGTGGAGGCTGGACAGGAGATCCAGGGGGTTTCTGCCAGGTGGGGCAGTGGGCAGGGGGCTTGTCCTGCGGGGTGAGGCGAGGCAAGGCAGGGCAGGGGTACCATTGTCACAGGGCAGGGTGTGGCAGGAGCAGGGGCGGCTGCTGCCTGACACCATCAACCTCTGTACACAGAGGCCAGCAAGCGCATGGGTGCTGGGATGCATCTGGTCATGTGGGACCTCAGCAAGTTAGTGGGCGGCTGGTTGAAGAGGGACGATTGCCATCTCCAGGGCATGGCCTGTGTGCCCACAGAGAGGGCTCTGAGTGCTGCCTCTGGCACACATCCCATAGGTTCGCCACCACTGATCTAAATAATACCCAAGTATAATATTGCATTAATCTGAAAAAAGAGCATTCCAAGCTCAAACAACCATTATGAATATTCCAAGAATGACATGGGTTCGCATCACTTTGTATTCTGAAAAACACTAAAATTTTAGGGTTGTTTTTCCAAAGATACACTGAATAGTTAAGGTGCAGCAACTTTTGTTTCCATAAATATGTTACAGCAAAGTTTTTTGGTGGAATATTACAAGCCGGGCTGTTTTGTTCCAAGCTTGAAATAAAAGATGTTCCATGACACCTAAACCGATATAATTACACCTAAACTGCCTATTTATGCTTTTTTTGTTTTCATGTGAATATTACTGATTCAATCTCTTTATAACTGTAATGAAAACTGAAACCTTTCCAAAATAATGAATATAGAATACTCACATGCTCCATCTTCATCGTAGTTGCTAAGATCTGCATGGACAGTTCTACTGAATTCTAACACATTGTACCACTGATCTTTGTTAATTACTTTGTATTTTGACTGCTGAAGAAAAATAAGAAATGTCACCATTTGATATACTGTGCCATATGTGACAAGAATTGTATACTTTCAAAATAAAGAGTTTACAGCACATCAAGAAATGCTTGAAGAAAAAGTTTCCATGTGAATTTAAACAATTTAACTTGACTGTAATAACTTGGTTTTAGTACACTAACAAGAAACATCAGTGCATATACATCAGTCATCAAATTAGTGGCATAAAAATGTTGTAGATTTCTACTTTAAATTTCTAACTATCATTGCCTTTATTTTGAGAGAGACATTTGACAGAGAATAATGTACTAAAATGCATAGATTTATTCTGAATTCAAAATGTCTATTGTAAGTGTGAAAACATAAAAATTAAAAAGCATAAAAAATTGCAGAGTATAGTTAGCATAAAATGTGTGAAGGAGGATTAAAACATCAACATGGTTTGATTTTTTTCTAATGTATCCCTACCTCCAAGTATTGGTAAAACACTGAAAACAGTGGCCATGTCCTTCCAAGAAGAAGTGCTAACATAGATTTTGCTGTGTCAATATCAAGACTTCGCTGATCTTTATCCTATACAGGTTCAAAAAAGTGCAATTTAGAAAATGTATAAAAGCACAATTAAATCATTATTTTCTTAGACGATTCACTTACCCTTGCAAAGTCAAATGCATATCTGTAGATATTCTTAAATGTTGAAATGTCATTCAATTGGGATCGCAAAAAATCAAATTTACTTTGCAGCTTTTCTGTACAGTCACATCTTAAATAAAAAAAATAAAATAGTTACATGTCAAATATTTGGGGAAAGGAAATGGATGTAGGTATAATTGAATAAACAGGCTATTAGACTCCAGGTGTCTCAAGCTTGTGACTGCATGTAATTTTTTACAGCCTACAATGTCCCTAATCATACTTTTGCTTGTATATCAAATCAGAAATTCTCTATTGTTTAGTACATTTGAACATACTATTTCTCAATTTTGAGCACTTCTCAAAAGACAAAATGAAAATGGAATAAAATCATTAATTATGATCTGGATTGTATGTAGTGCCTTAGATGTGCAGCTAACCTGGGATAGGGCTATGGTTTTTTTAATTTAATAAATTTATGTTTAATGGCAATCTGTGATATTCTTCATTTTCTAAATGTTTGCCTTAACAGACCATTTTGCGTTAGTGAATGAAAAGGCTTTAGTATTAAGGCCCTGCTTTCTGCCTTTTTTCAGGTTCAGGGCAATATTAATGTAATCAAATACAGAAAATGATGCATTTTCTTACATATGTAATCATTCTCCCTTTCTGTTCATTAAACATTGCAATTTAATGGTAGCTTTTGGAGGAGCTCTGAAAGTTACATCCAAGATATTGGAGGGGAGGGGGGAGGAATAACACAATTAAACATTAAAATAAATATTTTTTTTAAATTAAACAATTAAAAATTAAAGTTGTTTCAAAAATTCAAATGCCTGCATTGTATAAATGGATACCCTGGGAACAACTTGGGAAGCTGCTCTATTCACAACACCATAACAGGTACAAGAGCTTCATGATCCCAATATCTAGCCAGAAATGACTAATGGATGCTAGCCCTGCAGCTTTCAGTACCACAAGTTAACTGTAACACCAACATTGAAAGATAATCTTGCTTCGACTAGATACAAATATGATATATACAGATCTCACCACTTTGTTTTAGAATTTTGAAGCGAATTTTGTTCCTATTCTCCTATTCCTGTCTCAATCAGAATAAAGCTGGAAGGGACCTTGGAGGTCTTCTAGTCAGCCCCCTGCTCAAGCAGGAGACCCTATACCATTTCAGACAAGTGACTGTCCAGTCTTTTCTTAAAAACCTCCAGTGATGGAACGCCCACAACTTCTGATGGCAAGTGTCCCAGAAGTTAATTGTCCTCACTATTAGGAAGTTTCTCCTTAATGCCAGGTTGCTTCTCTCCTTGATTAGTTTCCATCCATTGTTTCTTGTCCTGCCCTCTGGTGCTTTGGAGAGTAGGTTGACCCCCTCCTCTTTGTGGCAACCTCTAAAATACTGGAATACTGCTATCATGTCACCCCTAGTCTTTTTCTCTAAACTAGTCAAACCCAAATCCTGCAACCATTCTTCATGTTTTAGTCTCTACCTTTAATCATCTTAGTTGCTCCTCTTTGCACTTTTTCCAAAATCTCAACATCTTTTTTGTAATGTGGTGACCAAAAGTGGATGTAGTATTCCAGGTGTGGCCTTACTAAGGCTTTATAAAGCGATACTAATGCTTCATGTGATTTTGATTCTATGCCTGTTTATACAACCAAGGATTATATTAGCTTTTTTGGCTGCTGCCACACACTACTAGCTCATATTTAAGTGATTGTCCACTAGGACTCCAAGGTCCTTCTCACGGTTACTGTTTTTGAGCCAGGTCTCGCCTAATCTATGCTCGTACATTTGGTTTTTCCTACCTAAGTGTAAAATGTTGCTTTTTTCCACATTAAATTTCATTTTGTTGGACAGGGCCCATTGTTCAAGTCTATCAAGATTTTTTTGGATCCTGAGCTTGTCTTCTGGGGTGTTGGCTATTCCTGCCAGCTTAGTATCATCTGCAAATTTGTTGAGTTCCCCTTCTATTCCCTCATCTAAGTCATTTATGAAGATGTTGAAGAGTACTGGGCCTAAGACGGAACCTTGTGGTACCCCTCTGCTTACTTCCCTCCCTGCAGATGTAGTACCATTAAGGATGACTCATTGAGTATGGTTTGTCAGCCAATTACAAATCAATCTGGTGGCGATGCTGTCTATCCCACATTTTTCTAGCTTACCAAGAAGCAGGTTGTGATCTACTTCGTCAAAGGCTTTGCTGAAGTCCAAGTATACTATGTCCACAGCATTTCACTGGTCTACTAATTTAGTCACTTTGTCAAAGAATAAAATAAGATTGGTTTGGCATGATCTGTTTTTAACAAACCCATGCTGGCTTTTAGTTATAACTTTATTTGTTTCTAGATGTCTGCAGATCTGTCTTTGTCTTCTCCAGTATCTTCCCAGTGTGTTCTCTGGGAATAGTATAATTACCTGCTCAAAGGATTTGCACAAAGGTACTGCATGAGCACCTTTGTACATGCTCTGAGGGATCTTTCTGTGCTCAAATCTGAAGCACTGCACATGAGCTGTCACAAGCTAGTATCTTCAGATTAATTTGAAGGATGTAACATACAAGCAAAGTTAATCGTATTTGCAGCATTTTGATAAATGAAAATGTTTAGACGTATCGAAGAGAGCTTAAAATAGAAGTTCTTACTGTAATGAAGTCATCCCTTTTAGCCACTCTTCTTTTGTAAAAAATCCCATGCTTTCAGCCTCTAATTTCCAGGCTAAAACTAGCATAATAATCTGTAAAGGAATAAAGAAATAAAAGTAGGCTCGGGGGGGGGGGAATCAAATCTACAAGAAACATTTTAAACAATGGCTGGCTGCAAAAGTTGTTTATCAGTCCAAATCTCTACTCTTTTCAAATGTGTTGGGACTACACATTTGAGGATTTGCAACCTTGCTGACGCTAAATTTCCATTTCTATTTAAATATTTAGTTATTTAATTCAGTTTGTACATCGCCTGACTCCCAATGACTGTGAGTGGTTCACAAAAATATATATAAAAGTATAAAACAATAAAAGTACAACAAAAGTAGAAGTTGGCAAAACAAGACAGCAGCAAATACACATCCACTTCTTGAAGGTGACTAACCAAAAGGCTGGGCAAGAGACAGGTCCTTCAAGGCCTCCGAAAAGCAAAAAGAAGATAGCCTCGTCTGAAGCCTCTGTATGAAATTATACCAAAACCTTTTATGTTCTACCCTCCATAGCATTAAAATATTCTGCAGGAAGTGCCTGACCCTACCTTTTAAAAAACTTTTTGAAGTATTCCCATTGTTTTAGAATGCCATACCCCAGAAATGCACTGGGGATTCATCAGGTACCACCGTTTCGGAGCCATTAAAACAATCCATCAAAACACATTAAATATTACAAATACTTTTGGAGCCATTAGAACCATATTACTGATAGATACCAATTAATAGTAGGTTTTGGGTGCCCATCATTTTTTTTGTTCCTGATGGTATACTACATTTGATTATTTTTATATAGTACTTGGAGAGCTATTAAAGATCTTTTCCTACAATCTTAGGAAATCCTCCACTTAACCATGAAACATTAAAATGATCACAAATGGGCTCTGGAATATGCAGTGGCACTTATGTAGCTGAAACACTTTAAAATACCTGTCGTCTTTTTCTAGAGTCATGCAGTGCTCACTATAGCAGAATCCCAAGAAAAGGTATATCCAATTTAAGCAATTGGAGGCAGGTGTTAGTTAAAAATAAAAATTGGGGATTTTCACATTTCGATACAAACTGCTGCATGGTCCTACTTGGTAATATGGTGAGTGCATGTACCGTATTTGCATTACACATTACTTTGGTAGTCTCTTAAAGTCAAAGCTGCAGGGCTGTAGTCAGATTGTTTTGGAAATTATGCAGCAATACTTGCCACCAGCTCCTTAGTTTGAAAACTAAGGGAAAGTCTGTGATTGTTTGATCATTTCATTGTAGGTGTTAATCAGTGAGCACTTCCCATCTAAACTCTCAAACCAAAATGCTCCCCAATTATATTTCAACCAGGAAAACTGATTAACATAACAAATACCACCCAATGGCAGTTGAGATACTCTACAAGGGCCTTTCCAACAGGAAATAGAGTGGTCTCTTGGAGGGACCCAAAAATTTGTATCCTCAATTTTAAGTCTGGCTGTCAATTATACTGCTAAAAATGTTTGGTTCTATCATAAATGTAATAATTAGAGTGTATTGCTATTTATGTGCTGATTAGTTCCTTGCATTGATTACTGTCAACCGCTGTAAGTATAATATATATTGGAGCATCTGTAAGGAGAAATAGATACTTAAGCCTTCCTACACATTCTAATATCTTCTGTTGTTCTCTCTTTGCATATTATTAACTTTGGAAAAAAATATAAAAATATAGGGGTATTATACAGAAAACAGTGCAAGGAAATTTCAGCACTTTAAGATCTGCTTACGCCCAAATGTATTAAGAAATTATAGGATTCCAGTTGTAAAACTGAAATATTTTTTAAAAAAATCAATTTTTTAAAATTGTTAAAATTTGCTAATTTGTGACAGTAATATTAAGAGTAGAAAAACACAATGTAATCAAACAATGGACAATATTTAAAGGATATTACCCATTTTGTGGCTTACGTTTTCAGGTTCAACACCAATATCTTCACAGAATTTTTCCATTCCTTCAGGTCCTACAACTTCATCATCACCTTCAAAGGAAAAAAAAGGCATATCATGCTATATTAATCTGTCCCTGCCTCATTCAGTAGCCAATCATAGTCAAAGCTGGAATATGATGGGAAGCCAGCAGAGAGAAGCAGCAGACTCTGTTCTCATGAGTCACTTCAGTGTTGCATATAGTTTCCTAATTACACCATATTCCAAATGTTTCACTGAAATCAGTTTCCTGACGATGATGGCAGATGTTAGCCATCGAAGGCTTGTTTTTATTTATTAAAACCTTGGTGTTTTATTTCCTGGTGATCGCTTCCTTTTTTACTGAAATGTATGTACCCAGGAATCGCTATTCTTCAATTTTTAATGTAAAATTGGAAGTGTCTTGGCGACGTTTCAACGAAGTCTCATTCGTCATCTTCAGGCTGGTGTTTTCAGCTTCGTACTTCGAGCAGCAATGTGTGGTCTTAGCTGTTTCTTCCTTTTAACTGCCAGTGGGGGTATGAACTGATTGGGTGGGAGCTTGGCTGTGTTCTGATTGGGTGGAGGTGTGTTCTGATTGGTTAGGGGCTTGGCTGTGCTCTGATTGGCTGGGGGGTTGGCTGTGCTCTGATTGGCTGGGGGGTTGGCTGTGCTCTGATTGGCTGGGGAAGTGTTCTGTTTGGTTGTGCTCAGGTTAGTCTGAGTTGCAGGGGGGTTTAAGATTTTGGGCTGCCTTGCTGAGTTGCCCTGCAACTCAGACTAACCTGAGCACAACCAAATAGAACACTCCCCCAGCCAATCAGAGCACAGCCAAGCCCCTAACCAATCAGAACACACCTCCACCCAATCAGAACACAGCCAAGCTCCCACCCAATCAGTTCATACCCCCACTGGCAATTAAAAGGAAGAAACAGCTAAGACCACACATTGCTGCTCAAAGCACGAAGCTGAAAACACCAGCCTGAAGATGACAAATGGGACTTCGTCGAAACGTCGTCAAGACACTTCCAATTTTACGCGGGAGAAAACCCGAACAACCAAAGACCTACATATATATATATATATCTTCTTTAACAATTCAGGTTTCTGCAGCGTTACATTACATTTTCTAACATAAAGAATGTTTTCCTGCTCTGAATATGTATTCCTTCTGTCCTGGATAAATAAATAAATAATAATCTCATACCATTGGACATTAATGGGTTTAATTTTGACCAATCACTGTTTCTCAACCCAACCTGCTTTTCTGAGAGGATGAAATACTTTGTATCCATGTTCATAGGAATAAAAACAAAAAAAGGTGTTTTGACTTCATAAAAATGTATTAAAGTATTCCTCTGCTTTAACTGGTAGGCATACTTGGACTGATCAGGATGGTCTAAGTCAGGGGTAGACAACCTTGCCTCTTTTATGACTCGTGGACTTCAATTCCCAGAATTCCCGAGCCAGCTATATTGACTCAGGAATTCTGGGAGTTGAAGTCCACGAGTCATAAAAGAGCCAAGGTTGTCTACCCTGGTCTAAGTATTCAACTACAGTTTGCTTAAATGGGGTTTGTTGAATAAGCAACCATTATTGTGGATAATATATTTTGTTAAGCCATAAACCTTAGTTTGCAAACTTCCTTGGATAGATTTATACCATTCACCTACCTAAAGCCAAACAAATCACAATAGATATATATTTAAACAGATGTGATATTCAACAAACCAGGTGAAAAATTACAACATAGCTCAATATGTAAACAACAGAATTTCACACCTGAGAAACTCCCGTGTGTTCTTCCCTCTAAATCCCGGATGTCAAACTCGCTGTGTCACGTGACGTGTCGCAACGTATCAAGACTTTTTTCGCATTGCCGGAGCTGGGGTTGGCATGGCCTCTGCATGATGCAACCGGCCCACGGGCCGGCTGGCACCCGTTCTAACCCAAGAACACTCTCTCTTTTAAAGTAATGTGCTGACATCATTCCCCATGTTATAGTTAAATATTTTTAAACAGATGGTTAGTTTCACATTAAAGAGGAAACATACAGAGCACAGTCCTAGTATTACTAAGTAATTGCATTAACCATGCATTAGTTTCATACCTGCATATTCATAAAACCAAGCCAGGCACTTCTTGCTTGAAAAATGCTCCTCACCACTTATTACTTTATTGGAAGCTGGTGACCTGCAATAACTTAAATACATATTTAAAAAGATGTTGGTAAACATACTATTACTTTAAAAATCCCCAATTATGGCTTATTAATAGATAACATTATCAAGAAAATATTTAAATTTGCAGCTTTAATTTACTATTTTTATATACTTTCTAGGGAGCAAACTACCTTTTCTTTTGAAGTACAAAAGTGATGTCTTTTTTCCCCTTTTCTGGATATTCTCACAACCCATTCTAAAGTTTAAAGAATTAATAAGCTATGTCATTTTATTCTGTCAATAAGTTTTTTTAATCAATTTACAAAACATCTTGGCATAATATAAATATAATTCAGAAATAAAAGCTCCTCACAAAACTCTTTAACAAAAGTTTCAATAACTTTTGCATGTAACAAGTGGATTCCACTTGGAGTAGATGATCCTAAAGGTAACACTGGCCCAAACCAAGTCATATAAGCTTTTTTAGATATCTGCTGTCAATGTGGCCAAGAAACCTCCCAGCAACGCAACTTCTGCAACACAATCATTATTCTGCTAAACTAGGTAAATCTGTAGGTAAACAGATGCATTCTATGACACAGCTGCAACTTCTTGAATGATTCCTGTGCAGTAGTTTATATTGCAGTAGTTTAAACGGGAGATGACAAAGTTATAAATCAGCCTTAGCACCTCTGGACCATGCAAGGATGCAACTGGAATACCAAGTAAAGATTTTGAAAGGATTTTAGGTCACAACTGCTATCTCCTGCTCCACAAGGAACCATGGCTCCAAGAAAACCTCAGATTAAATACCTGCTACTTCAGGAAAAGTCAGTCAGATTAGAATACATGGAAGAGTTCATGGATTCAGAGTTCCTATACCAACAAAAGCTCTGCCTTGCTGCAATTCACTCCAAATCTGGCACCTCATCCACTCCCTTATACCCTCCAGGATAAAGATCTAAAGCTAGATATCATCAGCACATTATGAAATGTATCTGCAAAATGATAATCTCTCCAGTGGGTAGGTTTAGATATTAAATAAAATGGGCAATGGGGCTGAATGTTTGAACGGCCCCCACTGAAAGCTCAAGGACTGGTACACTCAATCAAAACTGACTGGAAACACATTCAGGAACGAGCAAAACCAGTACAGAACTAAGGTTTAATCCCCAAACCATACTGGTGGTCCAAAATTATACCAAGGTGATGGGTACTGAATGCTGAAAAATCTAACAAGTCATCTGTAAGAGTAGCTGATGCAGTTTCCTTCCCATCCCCAGGTATAAAACCCAAATGGAAGGAATCCAGATAATCCTTTTCATCCAGAAACCTGTATACTTAAGTCCAACCATCTTATTAAAAAAGGTACAGTATCTGCCAGTAATTATTTAGGGCAGCCAAGTGAATGATGGCTTGAGGAGACGTTATACCAGCACCTTCCTGAAGGTTGGTATCATCTCCTTCCTCAAGAAGACACTCACTTCCTGCATCAATGTTTTAATTCTTCTGGCCACATATATCAGGCAGGAAGAGCACTGATATAATTTGCAGGCAACTGAGCTCATCCCACAGAGGAACCAGTATGCTTGCTCAGGAGTTAGAGGCTTGAAGGAATCTCAGATGATCTTGCAAGATGTTAGGCTTGACATCTCATGAGATCATGCCCATGACAAAATGTTTTGATAATTATTCCACTCCTAGATATATTAGTATAAAAGTAAATCCTATCAAATTCAAAAGGTCTTAGCATTTCAATTTGACAACATATTCCCTATTGAGATAGATGAGTCATATTTTAAAGGCCATGTAATATGTGCCTGTCTGCAGAAAGTAATGTTTTAGTATAACTGAAAGTCTATATAGTCTAGATGACATTCAACATTCATACCCAGAACTAAAAATATAAGCCAAAATTGTACTATACTGAACTATCAGTTGGAAAACATCTAAACATTTGATCTATTGTGTTTTGAGCCTCAGAAGCATTTGGACAAATTGCTTAAATGCTATGAAAAACTGAGAAAAAATGGGCACTTGCACCTCTTAGAAAAATAACGGGGTGATGCAATTTGTTCTTTACTGGTACAGAATGCCATACCACAATAAGGATCTTAAGTAATAGGAAGCAGATTCCAATTAAGGAAACTATCCTGCAGTAGAAGAAGTGGAATGAAATGACTAGTGAAGTTTCATTAGATGTGTTCAACCTGAGGGTGGACTGGAGAAATCTGTCAGGACTTTTTAATTTGTATTCCTATAGAAAGTAGGACTGAATGCAATCTTATACATAACACTTAGCAGCTATAAAGGCAAGCAATTAGAAAGATAATTGAATGTATTAATTTAATTCATTTTACCTGCCCTTGAGTGACTCAATATTTACTATGCTTGTGATACAAAACTGAAGGCAAGTGTTACTACCATTGAAAAGGCTGGCAATTGTAGCTCACGGATGCATTTATATTGTAGTCTTCACAGTATATTAAGTAAGTTAAAATGGCTGCTATGACAAATAATAAAACACATCATTTATTAGAAAGAAAACTGGAAAAGTTGCTTCTTGCTATCGCTTCCATTTCTACAGGATATTATTTACTATCTAATCTTTTGGTGGACATTTCCAAAAAAAGCACGAACATCTTTCATTTGTTAAAGAATATCTGGCTACCTGAAATAACCAGTGCTATTTAAATTTTTGCAATGCTTTTTATAATGAATTGTAGGCAGCATGTTGCAGAGAGCTATTCTCTTCTACTTTAAAACAATACACTAATTGTGGTTTCATTTCATCCCTTTTTCAAGTAACAGTAAGCTAAAATGAAGTGCAATTGAATGTAGAGAACATCATGGCTGCATCTGCAATCTCAGGTGTTACTATTTCAACGCATCCTTTTCCATTAGATATGAAACATCTGTCACACTATTATATATGATGCCTAACAGGTTTCATTATGCTCTTTCAACAGCTAATATTATCTTTGGTCCGAAATATATACTTTCACTATTGATTGCAGCAAGTTTTAATTCTGCAATTCTAGAGCTATGGTCCACGTAACAGTTTAGTTCAGTGGTTCTCAACTTTTTTAATGCCGCGACCCCCAACCGGTCGTAAGTCGAGGACTACTCAACCGGTCGTAAGTCGAGGACTACTCAACTGGTGCAGCACCATTTGCAGAATGGGACTTTTGGGGGGCTCAGCAGGGCAGAGACAGCCTGGAAAATTCCTATTGGCTTTTGAAAGCCAATAGAATTAGACTCTATTCAAGAGAGTCTATTCTATTGGCTTTCAAAAGCCAATAGAATAAAAGGGAGTAGCACAGCTAAGGAAAAGGGGAAAAAATGGCGGACTGCGTTGTTTGGCGACACCTGTGAAATGGTCGTTCAACCCCAAATAGGGTCCCGACCCACAGGTTGAGAACCACTGGTTTAGTTGGTATTCAGGGAACAGGTAGAACATGTTTGAGATTCTAACAGCACAATTCTGTGATGTATATTTAAAAGCTGTCACGCTGAATTTAACAGTATTTGCACTCCTAAATAAGTAGCAGCTGTAGGAGAGCAGAGGGAGAGAACAGTGTAGTTACCTTTTTTATAGTAGATTGAAAAAGTTGTGGTTAGACTTTGGGGTGGGCCAATGTGAACAGAATTCAACTTTTATATTATCATTTTACATTACATTATCAATCAACTGGCTAACATTTCTGCAAATATATGCAATAAATTATATTTTTAAATAAAATACTGATTCATTACCATACAATATATAAGCAGAAAGATGAGCAAAGGTGTATCAATGTAATCCTTTTTAGTGTAAATTTTAAGATATTATGTCAAAATCTAGACTTTAGCTACCTTTTTAAAATAATTTGTCTCTAACAGTGTTAAAAGATGAAAAGTCTAAGAATTTTTACATATTTGATGGAAAGTAATTCTTTGAACTGGAGGCTAAACCATATAAGGAACGGCTACTGGAATTGCGTATGTCTAGTTTAATGAAGAGAAAGATGAGGGGGGACATGATAGCAGTGTTCCAATATCTCAGGGGCTGCCACAATGAAGAGGGAGTCAAGCTATTTTCCAAAGTGCCTCAAGGCAGGACAAGAAGCAATGGATGGAAACTAATCAAGGAGAGAAGCAATCTAGAACTAAGGAGAAACTTCCTAACAGTTAGAACAATTAACCTGTGGAACAACCTGCCTCCAGAAGCGGTGAATGCTCTAACACTGGAAGTTTTTAAGAAGAGATTGGACAGCCATTTTTCCGAAATGGTATAGGGTTTCCTGCCTGAGCAGGGGGTTGGACTAGATGACCTCTAAGGTCCCTTCCAACTTTATTATTATTATTATTATCGATCATCGCACAGTCAGCCAGATGTTCAGACTGGATTTGGCATTTTGTCTACCTATCGAGTCCTTACTCAGGACCTGGGATAGGCAGATGTGGATGTTTGATGGTATTACAGATATCGTCGCAGGATGGAAGCAGTTCCTAATAAGGCCGCCTTTTGCAACTGACTAATAGCGAATTTGTCAATGCCAATTATTATTATTATTATTACTATTATTATTATTATTATATCTTGACTTGTATTAGAAAAGTAAGGGGGACAGAATAATAAGGGTAAATGGACATGTTAACTTTTTTTCTCTTCAATTATGTCCGATTCTCAAAGACTGCCAATCCCCCATTTTCTTGGCATGGTTTTCCAAAGGTTGTTTGCCATTGTCTCCTTCCTAGAGCTGAGAGAAAGTGACTGGCCCAAGATCACCCAGTTGGATTTGTGCCCAAGGCAGAACTAGAACTCTAGGTTTCCCAGTTTCTATTCTGATGCCTTAACCACTACAACCAACTGCCTCTCTACAACAGAGTAAAAACATAAAAAAGCACATAAGATGGATGTTCCTAAGCAACTAGTAACTAAGAATAGAAAACTCTAGTGGAATATAATTGCTTTAACAATCTTATGTAGAGGAGGGTATTTTGTGAACCTTGGGATTGGGCAAATAATTCCAAAGTACTAGGAGGCACCCACAGTGCCCAATATTAAATCCTGGAAGGTCAGTATTTATCAAGACAGAAAATTTCCAGTTAAGAGATAGTGAATTCTGTCTAGCTTTCATTCAGTTTATATGCCAACTTGCTTCTCCAACCCGCTAGCAAAAATTTAAACAGAATACGTACACATTCACTTTTCAGAGTAGGTGGCATATAAATTTAATAAGTTGTATGTGTGTACATACACACACAGAGAGAGATGTTTATGTATAAATAAAATCAGCTGAAGGTGAAATTATGCTACTCTTTCCTAACCAGCTTCCTTACAGACATGTTGGGCTGCAACTCCCATCATCATAAGGCAACATGTTCTATTTCATCCTGTCCATAGGCACCTGGAGGAAGGATAAGCAGGGGAGGGGCAAATAACACATACATCATGATGTCAGCAAGCAAATTACAGAATTTATATACTTGACTGGATGCCATTTCATCCTTCATATAACACATGCTGTTATTTTAACACCATGTGGTTTGTTGTAGATACCACCATAGGGTCTGGTTGGGGGAGATGCCTTTACTATTCTCCATTACAAATCATCCAAGATTGTGCAATCACTAGTGCAGACCAAGCACACTAGAGCTGAATGAAGGCTCCTTGAAACATTACTGTCATTATGTAGAGTAACGTTCCCCTATCAGATGCTCACAGGATGTTCATGATTTCAGCTCCCGAACAACCCAGCCAGCAAGGGTACTGAATGTCTTGCTAACGTGTGAGTTTAATCCAAAACACTTGGAAAGCAGCACTTAGGAGAAAGTTGCTACAGAATCATCAGTGAACCTACTAGCCCTTCAGGCAGTGAGCAGCACAAAGAAAAAAAAATTATCCTAAGAAATGTTCAATTTTGGCCAAGGAAGTATGAAAAGCACACTTCTTAAGAGGCTAAGAGAAAAAAAAAAAACAAAAGACCATGGAATGAGAGGCAGCAATTATGTTATAGGCAGATTCAACTTGGGGGGGGGGGGATGGCAGTACCTGACATCTCTATCCTTCCTTACCTGTGTCAGAAAAGGTGACCAGCAATTGAGGGGGGGGTGAAGGAAAGGAAGGTGCCCCCCTCCTCAAATCAGAGGGAGGGCCTTCGGAGATCAAAAAGCAGGCGCTCGTCATCGCCTTCCTCGGGGGCTCAAGCCGCGTCACCCATAAAGGAGACTCCCCCTCCCCCGACTGACCCGGTTGGGCGGTCCCAAAGCTAGGCCTGTCCCGCCGCAGATGCAGTACCTGCTGATTTTACATTTCTTGAGGCCCGATTCGTCGCTCGCCTGCCCCGAAGATTTGCGCTTTTTTTTCACGGGCATCTCCTCTCTTCCCCGTACAGCGGACCGAGCAGAAGACGAGGCGAGCCAGGCCCTCCAGCGTGCCCCCCCTCCTCCCGGGTGATGAGAGGGCCCGCCGCCGCCGCCTCTTCCGTCCTCGGCTGTTATGAAGAAGCAGCGGCTCTGGCTGCCGCCGCGCCTTTTTCGTTCTCCGGCCCCTTCCTTTTCCTCAGTTTCCTGCTACCGCCGGGCCTGCCAGGGCAAGCGAGCGGGAGGCACGGACCGTTCCACGCTGAGGTAGAAGCAGCCGCGGCGGCAGAGAAGCCGGCAAGGCACAGAGGAGTCGCGAGCGCGTTTGCGCCGCCCCGACACGAAGAGGCGGGAGCAGGAAGTGACAGCGACGCGCCTCCGCCGCCCTCTGGACTGGCACCCATTCGCCCCGCCTACTCCCGGGCGGAGCTAAGAGACGGGGACGGTGCCGCCGCGTTATTAACCCCACCTTTTGGGAGCGTTTGCGCGCGTCACTGGGGAGATGTTGTGACGTGAGTTGAGAGGGGCCGGGCCGGACCGGGCGTGAATTTCTCCCTGGGGCAGCTCGTGAGCCCGTAATAAGGGCTTTCCCGAGACAGGCAAGACATCATCCCGCCTAATTCAGCAGAGACTCATGGATAGAGGTAGTCCTCGCCTTAGAACAGTTCATTTAGTGGCCGTTCTGTAAATAGTGTAACTGTACAACTGTTTGCACTGTAAAAAAGTGACTTATGAGCTTTTTTCACACTTCCCACCATTACAGTATCCTCATGGTCACGTGAGCAAAATTTGCAACTGGTTCCTATGGTTGTAGTGCCCTCAGATCATGTGATCAGCTTTTGCCACCTTCTGACAAAGCCAATGGGGAAGGCCAGCTTTTCTTACCCAGGTTATTAACTACTGCAACGATTCACTTAGCAACAGCAAGAAATGGGCCAAAACTCATTTAACAGATGTTCTGATTAGCAATATAAATTTTGACCTCAGTTATGGTCGTAAGTTGAGGACTACCTGTATCTTTTCAGACGTCAAAGGGAACTATTCCCAGTTTCTGGTTGGGTTTTCATCTCATGCCCAGCCATGGTTAGCTTGTTTGGTTTATTTCTAATTAAAACAGTTTGCTGAGCTTGCACAAATTCTTAAGTTATGGTTTAAATAGTTGGGGTCAAACTTTGCAAACCAAATTTATTTATTTATGAGACTTATATACCGCTTTAAGTGCAAGCACTCTCTAAGCGGTGTACACCAGTAAGCAATGTGTATATATATATATATATATATATATATATATATATATATATATATATATTTATTTTACATTGCCCCCAACAATCTGGGTCCTCATTTTACCCAGCCCGGAAGGATGGAAGGCTGAGTCAACCTTGAGCCGGTGAGATTTGAACTGCTGACCTGCTGAACACAGCCAGCTAAAGTGGCCTGCAGTACTGCACTCTAACTGCTGCGCCACCTCAGCTTCATGATAATGAAGATGAAGCTGAATCTCTATTGATAGTATTGTTGCTTTTAATATTGTATACAGCCATAAAAACATACACGTATTTTGATTTGTATGCCACCCAGAGTTATATGCCCAGCATATTAGATAATGCTTTTTTTTGAATGTTAAATATATTTTTGGGTGAGTTATTTTCACTGAGCCCTAGAAAGGCATTAGGGGTAAAATCACTTTTGAAAATACAGCCTAGAAAACTTCAGGGACTTTATGTAGTTGCCAGGAGTCAAAACTGCCTGAAGGCAAAATAAATCAATATTATACTGTAAGTGTAAAGGAGTTTAAAGATAGATGCCATTGGGGAAGGTATGAAAGAACTGCTAAGAAGAGACTTGCAGAAAAAATTATACATAATCTAGAGATTGAAGCAATCTTGAGGAAAAAAAATTGTTTAGCACTGTATAAGATGGACAGATAAAAACTTGCCAGGTTTTCAGTTAGTTTGTTATTTTATCCTACTACAACAATAAAGTACGTAGCATTCTTGGAATCCCTGCAGTCTTTCCTGATTTGGCCTATCTTGAAGGGCTGACATCAGTCTTGAAAGTCTGAACAATGGTGAATAAAATCAAGGGATGCTTGCATCACTTTCTCCAGTAAAGGAGAATGTCAAAATTCCTTTATGGTAAAGTAATTAGAGGTATATGAATGAAGAAACAAAAAAAATTGTATTATATTATGCTGTATCATTTAGCAAGATATATATAATGCCTCTTCCCAATTTGTGATCCTCCAGATGTATTAAAGGGTATTCCCATGATACTGCACCATGGACATCTGGGTTATAACATTTGAAGATAGATGATTCCTAACAGCATCATGTTGGGGCAGGCATGTGTACAATTTCAGCAGTGAGAAAAGAATCCTTGTAAATGTTTGGATACAGTTTAAAGATAGTTAAAAGTGGAAAGTTTTCTTTGATGGCAAAACTGTATAAGCATTAAATAGAAACATGATTTCTGGCATTCAAAAATATACAGTGCATAGTCAAAATGTAATTAACAAGTGTGATGGTTAAATTGCAGGGCTGCAACCAATAAGACCCAAATTTTCTTTATCATTAGAAAATGGATCATATAATGATTTAAGGGTAAGCATAAACTTTCAGCCCAATTTATCTCACATAATTGTGATTAAATTTGAGAACTATGTGTACTGCCTTGAGCTTCATCAGAAAGATTGGTAGTTGAAATAAATCCGCATATGCTTTCATAAATGAATTAAAGTGTTGTGGAGTTTTGTGTTTTCAGATCAGGATAAATGGTTTGTAATTGTGGTTTTATCCTCTAATGAGAGGATGTAACAAAATAGAACTATATTTTTAATCAAGTCTCAGTTTAGTGAGGCGTACAACTAATTTCAGAGAAGTGTAGCTTTTATGAGATTAGTGAGCAAAGCATAATATTACCTATTTCTTGAAAGTCTAACATATTTAATGTCAGCGTTAGTGATAGAGGAAATGGAAGCAAACTGGAAGTTCATTTGTGATACAGAACATCAACAGATGACACTATTTCTACCCAGTTTATATTCCATGTATTTCCTAAAATGCAGCACCCAGAGTCCTTCACCAGTAGTTGGCGGCTGCTGGGCTGTGTAGTTCAACTATCTGTAGACTCAACAGATTCTCCACGCAGTATAACAACCCCTTCCAGACTATTGTCCTCCAGACAACATATCTCATCACTTCCACCCAACAATGCTTTTTTTGGGACATGAATGATGGCACTCGTAATGCAACACATCTGTAGGGCCATTCTACGTTAATCGTGCACATTTAATGTCGCTCGCGCAGCATCCACCCAAAGCAGCGTGAGTTACACATCTAGCGATTACCTATCACACCGATTGGGTTTACTGTATTCCAGGGTTCTGGAGAAGTGGATGAGGATCGCTTGATACACCCTTAAGGCACGCGTCTTAGCATTAGGCGGCGTCCGCCATTTTGGTTGCCCTAGTAACCGGGCCTAGCAACGCTGCCCGCCGGGTGCCTCAGAAATCAAACAGGCGTTTCTTCCTTACCTTTCGCGGCAGCCTGGTGTCCGTCCCCGCCGGTACAGAATAGCAGTCCTTCAAGCAAAGGAAACCCTTATATAATGGTCCTTGTTCTTTTTTAAGGGAAGCGAGCCTCCTTCCGTTTCCTTCGCGTTACTCCTTCATCTCGGGTCCTCCTCTTGATCCTGACTATTCCATTTTCTCTTCACGTTGTTCTCTAAAACAATGTTCTTAAATTCTTCTGTTTTTCCTGGGATGGGGGAAAAGGGCGGACGCCTTGGTTAAAAAGCGGCTCTCGGCTTTTCCGCAGCGTTTGCAGGACTTGTCTCCGTTCTCCTAAGCGGAGCTCCAGAGTCGCGACTGTCATGCCTCTCGATGGGGACGGTGATGGCGACAAGAGGAAGATTTTCATTTCGGCCACTGCTGGTAACTACTTTGGGCTGCCGTCGTATGGGAGCCTGGCACCCCTCTCTGCCAGTCCGGAACTGGCCAACTTTTTGGATGATGGCAACGAATTTCTTCTCTGTGTGCAGCACTCAGAAGACCAAATTGTTGTCTCAAATAAGGTACTGTGACGTCCTTTTAAATTATATTGTTATCAGTGTTAGATATTTATTCCACCTTTTATTTATTAATATTTCTCTCTCTGTGTATAAATGCAGAGATATTGATATAAATACAAAAAGGCTAGTTAGAGCAATAGTCTTAGACTCTTCCCTATAAAGAGGTATGGGTGTGAGAGTTGGACACTAAGAATGACTGATTGAAGAACTGATGCTTTTGAACTTGATGCTTTTGAACTGTGGTGATGGTGTAAATTACTACGTATATTATGGACAGCCAGAGTAACCTACAGAGAGTTGTATAAATCCAGACACATCACTAGAAGCTAAAATCATAAGACTATTTCTGATTTCCATGGCTATGTCATGCTGCAAATTCATTGGAGAAATCATTGGTGCTAGAAATGGTTAGTGGAAGAAGACAAAGGGGCAAGCAAAGAACACACTGGCTTGATAACATCAAATCTGATACAAAGTTGAACACCCAACAATTGAAAGAAGCTGTGCTTGACAGGGTAGCATGGAAAGCGCTTGCCTATAAAGTCACCAAGAGTCAGACAAGACTAAATGATTAAAAACAAACAAATATGGAGCATGGAGGAAGGAGTGTGTATATGTATGTATAAATATACGTATGTGTGTGAGTGCACACACATATACCATATGGAGGAAATGCAGATAGTCCTCAACTTAATGACCACAATTGAGTTCATACTTTCTATTGCCAAGTGATACATTTGTTAAGTGACTTTTGCCCCATTTTACTACCTTTCTTGCTACAGTGTTAAGTGAATCACTGCAGTTATTAAGTTAGTAACATCATTGTTAAGTGAATCTGGTTTCCCCATTGACTTTGATTATTTTTTGCGTCCTTCTGATAAGCAATCACATAACCCCGGGACACTGCAATTGCACACTCCGCTGCAACATATGCCTGTTGCAAGTGTCTGAATTTTAATCATATGACCACGGAATGTGACAATGGTTGTAAGTGTGAAAAACAGTCATAAGTTACTTTTTTCAATGCCATTGTAACTTTGAATGGTGACTAAATGAATTGTAAGTTGAGGATTACTTGTATTACTTTTTGTGTAGATTAATGTTGTGCCCTTATACATAGCATATATATGTATACCTATATCAAAATATCCTATTGATATAGTGAGTGCATCATAGAGTTATTTATTAGTCTGTAATATAAGTCATACTTTTGATGCAGGTAATCTAAGATACAATTGAAATACTGTATTGTAAGATAGGAAAAATTCATGAATA